CACGCCGCCCCGTGAAGAGGGGGGGGGGGGGGTTATGGGGGGGAAGCTAGGAGTGTTGGGGAGGCCCAGTGTTCCCTCTAAGCTGAGATAGTGTGAGCCAGCTCACGGTTGTTTAGCCTCCGGCTCACACATTTTTGCCTTCGCTCAGGAAGGAGGCCTCCAGAGCAGACTGATTTATGCAGTGGCCAAATCACCTGCTCACACCTTTAAGGCCAGGAGCTCACAAAATAGAATTTTTGCCCACAGGACTCCACAGCTTAGAGGGGGCATTGTTGGGGACTACCCCCCCCCCAAGCCCAATTGTTCCTCTTTCGCCTTGAAAAAATCTTCCCAGGATAGAACATGGAGCAGCACTTCTGTGGAGCCTTGGAAGCCCTTCAGCATCTACCATCACAGCAGTGCCCAGACCAGCCCTTTCAGGTAGGCCAGTGTGACCCGCCACACTGCAGAGGGGGAGCCCGGGCTGGGAGAGAGAGCTGAAGAGAGTCGGTGGCCCAGGAGCGGAGCTTTCCAGGCGAGGCCTCCCCGGTATTGGCCACTTCCCAGAACCTGTTTGTGGAAAGCCTTTGTGTCCAATAACTTTCCGCAAACTGGGCCAGCGGTTGGGGTCCTATTCCCGCACCCAAGCCTCTCTCCCCCAACCCCATTCCTTGTCTGCTCTCTAGACCGTAAAGCTTGGGGGTCTCTTCTCGAATGCTGTCAATGGATGAGGAAACTACGCCAGCCACAGCAGGGCTGAAAAAGGAGGAGGAGGAGGAAGAGGACTCAAACGCCAGCCAGAAACAGGGTTGCCACTGCAGGCAGGCTTTCTCTGGAAGGGAAGGATACCAGGGTGGGTGCGTGTGGTCCAGAGAAGAGGCTGCAGTGGGCATGTGCCACCTCAAGGTCTTTGGGAGCAGACCGCCCCTTCCACAGTTTCTGCATCGCTTAACATGGTCACGTTTATACATATGCTTTGTTTCAGCTCAGTTTCCTATCTCTGCTTGTTTTCACATTTCTGCAGACCTAATCATAAGAACCTGAGAACATAAGAACATAAGAGATGCCAATGTTGGATCAGGCCAAAGGCCCATCCAGTCCAACAGTCTGTATCACACAGTGGCCAGAAATACCAGTGCCATCAGGAGGTCCACCAGTGGGGCCAGGACACTAAGAGCCCTCCCACTGTTGACCCCACCCAAGCACCAAGATGACAGAGCATCACTTGCCCCAGAGTCCCTATCTATACCTTGTGGCTAATAGCCACTGATGGACCTCTGCTCCATATGCTTATCTAATTCCCTTTTGAAGCCGTCCATGCTTCAAAGAGAAGAGCCCTGCTGGATCAGACCAGTGAGGGTCCATCTAGTCCAGCCTTCTGTCTCACACAGTGGCCAACCAGTTCCTCTGGAGGGCCAGCAGAGGCCGAGGCCTTCCCCTGATAAGAACCTCAGAAGAGCCCTGCTGGATCAGACCAGTGAGGGTCCATTCTAGTCCAGCCTCCTGTCTCACTCAGTGGCCAACCAGTTCCTCTGGAGGGCCAACAACAGGGCATGGAGGCCAAGGCCTTCCCATGATAGAACCTCAGAAAAGCCCTGCTGGATCAGACCAGGGGTCCATCTAGTCCAGCATCCTGCCTCACACAGTGGCCGACCAGTTCCTCTGGAGGGCCAACAACAGGGCAGAGAGGCCGAGGCCTTCCCCTGAGAAGAACCTCAGAAGAGTCCTGCTGGATCAGACCAGGGAGGGTCCATCTGGTCCAGCATCCCTTCTCACCCAGAGGCCAACCAGTTCCTCCAGAGGGCCAACAACAAGGCAGAGAGGCCGAGGCCTTCCCCTGATGTTGCCTCCTGGCACTGGGATTCAGAGGCTTAGTGCCTCTGAATGTGGAGGTTCCCCTCAGTCGCCATGGCTAGTAGTCATTGATAAACCTCTCCTCCATGAATCTATCCAAATCCCATTTTAAAGCTGTGTATTCCTGTGGCCGTCTCTACATCCCCTGGCAGCGAATTCCACATTGTAATCACTCTCTGTGTAAAGTAGTATTTCCTTTTGTTCGTCCCGAACCTACTGCCCATCAGCTTCATCGGATGCCCTCCAGTTCTAGTATTTGGGGAAAGGAAGAAAAGATTCTCCTTGTCAACTCTCTCCGCCCCATGCATAGTTTGATAAACCTCTATCTCCCTCCCCCAGCCCCCAGTCGTCTCTTTTCTAAACAGAAAAGTCCCCGACTCTTATTTATTTATTTATTCCATTATATTTATACCCCACCTTCCCCGCGAGCGGGCTCGGGGCGGCTTACAACAAGGCACAAAGTGCATACAATATAAAATAGGTTAAACGGTTAAAGTTCAGTTCAATCGGGATGCAAGAATAGAAAGATCCCAACATCTTGCATACCAGAAGGGGAGGGCCAGGGCCGTAGATAGATGTTACTCGGCCCTACGGCGGTATCGCTCTATAGTGGAGTGGTGGTGGTGGTGGCAGTGGCGGCTCCTACTCGAAAGCCTGGTGGAAGAGCTCCGTCTTACAGGCCCTGCGGAACTGCAAAAGGTCCCGCAGGGCCCTGATCTCCTCCGGGAGCTCATTCCACCAGAGAGGAGCCACCACTGAAAAGGACCTGGCCCTCGTTGCCGCAAGCCTGGCCGCCTTGGGGCCCGGGGTCACCAGCCGGTGTTGTGACCCCGACCGAAGTGCTCTTTGGGGCATATGTGGGGAAATGCGGTCCCTCGGGTATGTCGGACCCTGGCCATGTAGGGCTTTAAAGGTAAGCACCAGCACTTTGAAGCGAATCCGGTATGCTATAGGCAGCCAGTGCAGCGCTTTCAGTACAAGCTGGGTGTGCTCCCACCTAGGGGCGCCCACCAACAGCCTGGCCGCAGCACTCTTCAGCCTTTCCTCCTAGGGAAGGTGCTTCCGCCCCCCTCCCCAATCATCTTGGTTGCCCTCCTCTGTACCTTTTGCAGCTCCCATTGCATTGCTTACTGGATTTCCTCCTATCTTGTAAATTTTTAGAAATTATTTGTTTAAAAGATGGGGTCCCCAAGGCAGCGAATGTCAAACCGTTGGAACATTTCAAACATTAAAACATCTCAAACATTACAATACAAATATACAGGGCTATTTTTGGGCAGGGACGCACAGGAACGGAGTTCCGGCTGGCTCCTGAGTTGGCCACGCCCAGCAGGAACTCATTAGCATAATAGGCCACACCCAAAAGCAGGAACTCATTAGGATTGGCTACATTAGGGGTGTGTGGCCTAACATGCAAAGGAGTTAAAAAAGGCCCTGGATTTTGACAACAAACAAGGTAAACAGAATAAGAAGGGAAAGGTGGGTGTGGCTGGATGACCACACTTCTGGTAACATGGGGGTGTGGCCTAATGGGCTAATGAGCGGTGCTGTCAGGGGGTGGCCTAATATGCTTATGAGTTCTTGCTGTTGGGTGTGGCCTATTATGCTAATGAGTTCCTGCTGGGCTTTTTCTACAAAAAGAGCCCTGCATATATATACAACCTTTAAAACACACAGACAGGGAGGAGGTCTAATAAGACAGGGTTGCCACTTTCTGGAAAGTCAGGGAAATGAAAATTGGTCAGGGAAGGTCAGGGAAACTGGTCTGAAGTCAGGGAAATTGTGATTAAAATATATTGGAGCAGTGGATTTTTGACCTGCTGCTGCTGCAAGAGTTCTTGTGGCAACTGGAATAGAGAAGTGGCAGAATACAAGTAGAACTCAATGATGCCCTTTCCCAACCATTTTAGATAGAACGTTGATATAATTTTTAGTGTACCTTTAAAACAAGAACAAAAATGTTACGCCATTTGTTAGCATTCAGAGCTTGAAATGTGTATCTTGGTGTAATTTTTGGTGCAATTGCAAAACAGATGTTGCTGCAGTTAATGTTGAAAGAAGCTGATATTAAATCTCTTTGACAAATATTTTTGCAGTTGAGCCTTGTGTAGTTGTAGAGTGGAACCTTACCTTGCATTAACGCAATACAACGAGTGTCCCCTCTAAGCTGAGTTAGTGTCAGCTAGTAGCTTACAGTTTTTTAGCCTCCGGCTCACACATTCTTGTTTTAGCCCAGGAAGGAGGGCTCCCGAGCAATTTACACAGTAGCCAAATCGCTCGCTCACAACTTTCATGCCAGTAGCTCACAAAGTAGAATTTTTGCTCACAAGACTCCACAGCTTAGAGGGAACATTGACCTATTCATTTTTTAACTTGTGGTTATATTTGAATGGTGGCCAGGGAAATTGACAAACGTTGGTCAAGGAAAGTCGGGGAAATGAAAAATAAAATTTTAGTGGCAACCCTGTAAGAATAAC